TCTGAGGGCAGGCTTGATTAAGTTTTTACAGCGCCTGCACAATTGAGGTTGATGACCCTCTCCGAGGCAGATTAAGCAACGGTCATGTCCATCAGAGAAAGGGAGTTTGCGTGTACACGAGGCACACCTTCTAAATGGATCTGACAGGCATACAGTCGGAGAAATAGTCCAATCAAAACTCACAGTCCTCAAACGCAGGAATGTAGTGAAGGAAAATCTGTATACTGTATTCTTATATACCCGAAACATAATCCGATAAGGAAGTCAGGGTGGTCCGTTTAAAACCAGGGAGGGAGTCCGTGGGGGGGAAGGATGGGAAAACCACAATCGTAGTCAAACAGTCCGAATCAAGCCAAAATAGATGGAAAATCAAGATAAGGGGTAACGATGAAAAGGGAGAAAGACAGAATCGTGGTCAAAAATAGTCCGCATTCGGGGGAAAAAAACAGTGCGATAAACAACAAAAGTACAGAGCTCTAGGGAGAGGTTCCAAACGCTAGGTGGAAAAAATGGAACTGAGGGTTGAGGCGGGCGGAGCATGCGCTGTAGGGGTAACGTCTTTCTAATCTCTTTTTTGTTTAAGCTCTAGAAGATTCCGAGGAATTCATGTGCAGGCGCAACAACCCACTTGTGTGCATTCACAGAGTTCACGATGAAGAACATAACATAATCAGTGCAGTAAAATTAAATTACATTATCATGACATATTAAAAACACATTAAAACAGGTGGCAGTTAGTTATAAGAAGCCAATGTTCTCAGCGGCTCTTTGGCAAGTTTTGAAAAGCCTGCCAGAATAAAAATAAATAGAAGGCCACAGGAAGGAAACTAGGTTGATTTCAGATAGCAATGCATTCCACGGACAGGGCATAACCACCAAGAAGGTGTCATCCCTTTCGGCCTCCCTCAGGGTATGCATCCTTAGTTGTCCTGCCTGGGAAGTGCAAGTACAACAGGGAGTGTTTTGCCATGTACTGAGGTCCCAAACTTTTAGGGCTTTATAGGTCAAGACCATCACCTTGAAGCCAATATGGAAATGGACTCATAGCCAGTGCAAGGTGACCAGGACCAGAGAGATATGTTGGTACTTATTAACTCCTCTCACTAATCTGGTCACCATAGTCTATACCTGAAGTTTCCCTATCAATCTCAGTGGCAGCCTCACATAGAGTGCAATCCAATAATCTGTTCTTGAGATTAGTACCATTAAATGGACCAGGGTGGTGAGGGATCCGGTGTCAATGTAGGGATGCAGTTGTAAAAGCTGCCTGAGGTGGAAATACGCAGACCGGACCACAGATACTGTCTGGGAATCCATTAATAGCACTCTGTTCAGAAGGCCACGTTAACATTATCCTTCAAGGAGTGCCCCCCAAAAGAGAGAGAAGTCCCCCAATCCACAGTCAGCAGGAACAACCACCCAGAGAACCTCCATCTTGTCAGGATTCAATTTTAGTCCCCATCCACGCCAGGACAGCTGCCAGGCAGTGCTCAGAGAACAGGATGGCAACCATTGAAGAAGGGTGGAAAGAGAGAGAGCGTTGGGTGTCATCTGCATACTGACACAAAGCTCCAAATCTCTGGATGACCTCTCCCAGCAGTCTCATGTAGATATTAAACAGCAGAGGGCTGATTGATCCCTGAGGGACTCCACAATCTACAGTACAAGAAGCAGAGACTAACTGCATTCTCAGGGGAAAGTCCTTAAGGAAAGATTGGAGTCAGGACAACACCAGGCCTCCAATTTTCAACCCCAAGAGTTTCACAGGAGGATAGTGTGGTTGATGGTATCAAAGGCCACTGAGAAGTTGAGGAGAATGAGTAGGCACACTTTGCCCCATTGGCCTCCCTCAGAAGATCATTTTGCAGGGTGACCAATGTCATTTCCATGCAGTGACACAGCCTAAACTTGCGCTGGAAGAAACTGAGGGCACTAGTTTCATCTAAGAGTGTCTGAAAATGATCAGCTGCCACCCTCTCCACTGGCTTGCTCAAGTATGGAATATAGTGGTGCCTCGCTTAGCGGTTAATTCGTGCAGAAAAAATCGCTGCTAAGCGGTAACATCGCTAAGCGAAATAAAAAAGCCCATAGAAACGCATTAAAACACGATTAATGCATTCCTATGGGCTTAAAACTCACCTTTAAGCGAAGATCCTCCATAGTGCCGCCATTTTTGGTGCCTCTAAAGCAAGGAATCCGTCCCTGAAAACAGCGGGCGGCCATTTTGTTTACCCGGCGGCCATTTTGAAACCGCCGATCAGCTGTGCGAAAATGAGTTGTTTGCCATGATTGCTTCCCTGCGATCATCGCAAAGCGAAAATAGCCCACAGGGACCATTGCAAAGCGATCACTTTTGTCACTATGCGGAGCAATTGCTATGCGAGGCACCACTGTATTGGCAACGGGTCTACAGTTATCATAATCATCTGTTGCCAAGTTAGGTTTTTTCAGGATGAGCCGAATTAGTGTTTCTAAGCCCTCCAAGAGAGATGCATTAATAATTGAAGTGTCCCATTCTGTCATGGTCAGCCAAGCAGCTTTTGAAAAGGCAAGGGTCTAGGGAGGTTGTGATGGTCCTACAGCAATCAAGCACGTTGTCAACCTTTGCTGGAGACACAGGCTGAAATTGATTTGATAAGATAGGAGAAAGTGGTGCGTGGAAATCTCAATCTGATCTATATCAATCTGTAAGTTTAGGTCCCAGCGGATGGCTCCACATTACTCTTTAAATATGCTACAAACTGGTCAAAGGAGATATGAATGGGAGGCCTATCACCTTGACCAGTCCCAGAAAGGTTGCGTACTATGTGGAATGATTCCACCTGCTGATTTGGGGCTTCACTTATCTGGGAAGCATCAGATGTTCTTCTGGCTGTTTTTATAGTTGATAAATACATTGCTTCATCAGACACCAGATATTGTGGACAAAGCGCTTGATAGCTGTCGGGCCACCACCTCATCCCCTGCCCGGCCTGGCTAATCAAAGCAGCCAGGCCCATAAAAATTGAATGGGCCGCAGCAATAATCACTGGGTCTTTCCTTGAGGGCAGGGTATCTCTTGCCCTCAAGGAGACACTCATTAGGCCCATAAGGAAGAAATCTAGTTTGGCGGCAGACGAAATTGGCAATAATAGGCCTGTCGCCAACGTTTCTTTCATTAGCAAAGTGGTGGAGAGGGTGGTGGCTGATCAGCTTCAGGCTCATTTGGATGAAACAAATGCCCTGGATCCGTTCCAGTCGGGTTTCAGGCCACGCCATGGTACAGGAACGGCACTGGTCGCCCTGTATGATGACCTATTGAGGGAGGCCGACAGGGGTAAAATGTCTGTTGGTCCTCCTCGATATCTCAGCTGCCTTTGATACTGTCGACCACAGTATCCTCCTGAGGAGGCTCTCTGACTTGGGAATTGGTGGCCTGGTGTTTTCTTGACTCCAATTCTTCTTGGAGGACCATCCTCAGAGAGTACAGCTTAGGGAGAGGGTTTCGTCCCCATGGAGCCTAAACTGTGGTGTCCCACAGGGCTTCATCATCTCCCCAATGCTGTTTAATATCTACATGAGGCCACTGGGTGGGGTTATCAGGGGGTGTGGGGCACCGTGCCATCTGTATGCTGATGACACTCAGCTCTACATCTCCTTTTCACCAACTGCAGAGGATGCCGTTCTGTCCCTTCAGCAGTGATTGGAGGCTGTACTGCAGTGGATGCAGGAAAATGGGCTGAGGTTGAACCCGGACAAGACGGAGGTCTTGATGGTGGGTGGCCCCACCATCAGTGATTTGGGAAACTCCCTCTCATTGGGGGGGGGGCTGACTCTCACCACAAAGAGTGAGGTTCGCAGCTTGGGGATCCATCTGGACCCGGCGCTCACCGTTCTGCCTATTTCCATCTTTGGAGGATTGCCCAGCTGCATCCCTATCTTGATGTTGGGGCGCTCACCACTTTGGTACAGGCGCTTGTAATCTCGAGATTAGACCACTGTAACACCACTACGTGGGGCTATCTTTGAAGTTGATGTGGAAGCTTCAAATGGTGCAGAATGCGGCGGCCAGACACCTTGGTGGGAAATACCATCATATCTCTCCCACTCTGGCCGCTTTGCATTGGCTGCCTGTTCAGCTCTGCGTTGATTTCAAAGTTTTAATGCTTACGTACAAAGTCCTAAACAGTTTAGGGCCTTGATATTTGGCGGAACACCTACTCCCACCAAAACCCGTATCACTCGATATAGTCAGGAGGTAAGGTTGAGGAGGCCTGAAAGGAAAAACAAGAAACTGGGCCTCTTGGCAGTGGCTCCTCGCCTTTAGAATAAACTCCCCCCCCCCGAGATCTGTATGCCCCCTTTACTGGGCATTTTCAAAAGTCAACTGAAAACCTGGCTGTTTAAGCAGGCCTTCCCTCCAGCCACTATTTGATCTAATTTTTTTTCCTTTTTTCTTTTCCATCTTGAACAATTGACCTGTTGAAAATACCAGGTCTAGAGTATAGCCTGCCATATGTGTGGGGCAGCTGACTGGGACATGTCTAAGAAAGCCACGGTTTCCAAGAACTCAAAAGCTGGCCCAGAAACCTCAGCCTCGGCATGAAGTCCCCCAGGACAAACAGCCGGGGGGACCTCAACAGGCCAGCTGAGATGACATTCACCAGCTCAAGAAAGGAAAGCACTGGTTCGCGAGGAGCATAGTAAAGCACCATAATCCCAAATTCATCCCTAGTCCCAACAACATATCGAGGGCCTCTAGGCCTGGAATCACCAAGGCAGGAAGCTTGACAATCTTTAAGGTGTTCTTATAAACAATGGCTACTCTCCCCCAAGCCTCCATTCCAGTCTGTTGGATGGAATAACCAGATGGGCATCGTATAGAGGGGGCCACACCACCCTCTGTATCCACCCAAGTTTCAGCAATACATGCCAGGTCTGTGCCTGCACCTAAAACAATGTACTAAAAGAAAGAAAAACCACACAGAAATTGGTAAAATTTGTTCTACCGAAAGCATTACCTTTTCTTCTTCAGAAGTATAAGGTACCATAGATGGTAGCAAAGCAGCAGGTTCTTCAGAAGAAAGTGTGATGTTTTTGTTTTCTCTTCTGGCTGATTTTTTATCAACTTTTAATTCAGAAACGTGTCCCAATGCTGACACTGCTTCAAGCTGGTTGATGTTGCTTGTTTGTAGACTTCCAAGTGGTGACACCAAAGAGGGAGATGCAGCTTCTAAATTCTTGCTCACTTCAGACTGTATCTGTGGTTTCATATTCCCACTGACTTCTGCATCTTTTACACTACATGTATTCCCTTTATTTTTTGACAATACTAGACTAACAACTTGGTTAGCTATTGTACTATCAGCTGGTGAACTAAATACATTTGATTTCTGCTTTCTGATGAGTGTTTCATCATTAGATGGTACTTGTTTCTTGCAATTATTTGCTGATGCAACACTATGCTCTTTTTTTGTTAATAAATATACCTTCTCATTGTACACTACCAAGGCATTATCTTTTATAGAAGTAATTTTTCCTTGGCTTTCACTTAGACTGTTTGAACTTGCTGGGAGAATACTGGTCGTGTTGCTATTTACGTTCTTCATATTAGCCAAAAATTTTAAGATCTTCGATACCATGCTATTTGATGACTTTACAGCAACAAGGCAAGGTGCTGATTGCTTTAAATTTTCTTGAACACTCCATTTAATAGGAAACATTTCTTTTTTCTCACAATCAGATGTTGTCACATTTAGGGTGGAAAGACTGACCGCTCTTTGTGGTACTATTTGCATTAAATGTTCTGTTGCTTCTATGACAGATTTTGGACATATATTTTGAAATGGTTTAGAAGCAGTTGATTTCACGGTATTTACTGGTGACACATAAATAACTGTTGGTACTTTTGCAACTTCACCTGGCCCTAAAGGTGCTGCCGCTGCCAGAATTTTCTGTTGAATTCCCAGCGGTAATAAAGAAGCTGGAACAGATTTAACTTCTGCATGAGCTGGTATTTGGAGATGATGTCCAGAAGGCAACACTGTAGATCTTGCAGTACCTGGATCGTTCTTTGTATTCAAGAGTACATAATTTGTATTGTTCTTCCCCAAGCAATTTGGGGCAACATCTTTTCGGAAGGAGAGTCTATCAGCTGAATGAAAATTACTCTGAATTGTAAGAACAGTAGGTGTTGGTGGGTTTTCTTTTACAACAGAGGTTATGTTTGCCTTTTCCTCTTGACCAAAGGGCTTTGGTAGAATCCATTTTCCAGGTGTAGCTGCCGTATGTTCAGGATTTTTAACAAATGGAAATGTAGTAGTTGCAAACAAACCTTTCAAATTATCATGACTGAATCTTGAGGTATTTCCTTTAACATTATCAGCTGTGATTTGAGATTGAACCAAGGGCACAAAATTTCCTAGAGGTTTAGATACTGGAAGCAATTTCACAGGTTTTTCTCCATTCAGCCCAGCCATCTGAACTATATGGTACACACGACCTGTAATACTTAAAAGAATGAAACATAAACAATTATTTATGTACTATAATTATTACGTTAACAGTTGTGCATTCTCAGTGGTCCACATGCACTGAAGTCTTATCACATCAGACCTACAAGTCTAAAACCATATTGGTTGATTTGAGTGCAAAACCAGTGGCACCTTGCTTTCTTCACTGCGGAATTCTGTGTGTAAAGTTAACCAGTCAATGCTTATAAAGGAGAAAATAATCAGCTACAATAGTTTCTATAGTTCTTTCTTTCTTTAAAAAAAATAACTGTTTCATGAATTCATTAATAAAAGTAAACACACACCAACACATTATTAACTACTTCAAAGATGTCTTAGCCACCATCATTCTTATATTCTCAAACAAAATTTAAGGCACAACCCAGATTAGCTGCATCACATCTATTACAAGATTAATATTTTCAGGTGATTATGCCAAGGGTGTATATTTGAGTATACATGTTTTATTGATGTATAATGAAAGAGCAAAGTACACAAAATGATACAAACAGAACAATGATGCAATGCCTCTGCAGGTCAAATAAAAACCAGTACTACTGTAATTTCCCACCACTTTCACAAATACAGTGAAAGTGTATTTCCCCCCCACACCTCAATTTCCTTAGCTTGATAAATTTTTATCCCAAAATCCTGGGAGTTTCTAACCAGTACACCAGACTGGCTCTCCAGTTAAGATTCTATATAGTCCTCTAAGTTTCACTTTTACGAAGCCAGATGAATGCACATGGGGAGAACCCCTGAAGCATAGGTAAAAAAAAATATTCCCTCTCCCACAGTGGCACAGTGAATCTAACTGCCCAACCAGGGGGACTGAACACAGATTTCCCTAGTTCTACTTACAGTTTCAGACTATATTGCATATTTTAATTCATATATTTGTGGGCTGCGGAGTACTTTTGTATAGTAAATATAAGCATGGAGAATAGTTGAAATAAGCTGCTCAAAAGTGCCCAAGAAAGAACCCAGAATCCATAAAAACTGTTCTCTCAATGGTCCACACTGTTTTCAAGGCGTTAAAACAACAGAATGAATCAACTCTAGACCTAGTATGAGGCAGGTAATTTTACTTTTATTATACGACTAAGGGCCAGGCAGGCAGAGGTTTAAAATGAGTTGAGAAGTGGATTTGGATTCTTTGCCTCATATACAAAAATGTTTTAAGTCCTCTCTACAACACCGATAATAATCTCAGAACTGCAGAGCTGGAAGGGACCCTGTGGATCGTCGAACCCTAACCCCCCCCCCCAAAGAGGCGCAGCGGGGATTCGAACTCCCAACCTTTGGCTCCAGCGCCAGAGACCCAAGCCATTGAGTAGTCACGCTTGGTGATCTGGCTTCACACCCGATTTCTCGTATGTAGACGTGACCTACGGCGCCGAGACAAGAGCCTCACCTCGTCTCTCCCTCCCCCACGAGAATCATCCTCTAACATCTCTTTCAGCCCAGACATCGGCGAAGAAAATAACTATCCCAATGCGCTTTAAAAAAAAAAAAGGGGGGGGGGGAGACCAAAATCATGAGGATGAGTTGCCGGCGAAAGAGCACAAGAAGCCAACGCGAGAGGGCGCTGCGCTTGTCACCAAGACTCTCCAGACAGCGACGAAAGACAAAGGCTGGGCTTCCTCCTTCTCTTCACAGGAGGGAAAAGCGAGAGCTACACACCGACAGACAGTCCAGGACGCTGCTTTTCCCTCCTCCTGGCAGGCTCTGAGGCGTGAAAGATTTTCAGACTTTTCCTTCAACGGCAAGGACCCTTTCCCTCACAGAGGGGTGCAGTATTAAGGATAAAGGAGCCCCACAACTCACCAAAGCGGGCCAACTCTCCTGGGCCCCCTTCCCTCGTCACGCTTTCCGTCCGCCTTCGTAGACACCCCCGACGCCATTTCGGACATATCGACCGGGAAGCTCCGGGGCCAATCTTCCCCTCTCCCATGGCCTGATTCAGGGACTTCCTCTTCCCGTTGTCTAACTTCTAACTCCTTCCGTTTGACGTACTTCCGGATAGTTAGGGTTTCCGGAAAGGTTAGTGGGTGCTTCTGTAGCACTCTCCTCCCTGGGCACCAATAAAAAATAACTTCCTGCTCATCCACTTCCGGCAAGTCTTTTTATTTAATTAAGAAGACGCCATTTTGCTGCTTTCCAGTATATCAGTTACAGATTCCGGACACTCGGAAAAAGAACTTCCGGGTTGCTCTTAAGACTTCGTTTTTGGAAAAAGAATATAAAGTCTTAGATAGAAGATAAGAGTACAGTACTGTATTTTGGTCACAAAGTGACTTCCAATAGCTAGCACTATTTTGATTAGCAATAAAGAGCAAACACCAAAAAAATAAATAAATTCCAATGTAGATTTAAAATATTTAAAATAAGGCACGTTGAAAGTAAAATACATAATAATATAACAGATTTTAAATACTGTAGATGTAAATTGAAACAATTAATTAGAATATGCCATTTTCAGTGAAAGCTGAAAGCAATGCTGGTCAGAGATCATTACAACATGGGTGTAGGAGGCAACAGCTGTGACACTCAAGCTATTTTGTGTTAGTACTGCACAGAAGGTAGCAATGGTAAACCACATAGAGTGGTCCTGACCCGACCAGATAGGCGGGATATTAATAAAATAAATAAATTAAATAAATAAATAAATAAACCACTACTGAACTTTGCCTATCATTAAAACTATGATGAGACAGTCCAGAAAGACACAAGACATAGTGCTGGAAGATGACATTTCCAGGTGAGAAAGCACTCAGTCAAACTCAAATGGCTCTAATACTGAGGCAAAATGTAGCACAGGTAGTGACCATAATGCAAAATCTGACTGAATACTGTCAGTCAGATTCCATAGAAAACCTATCAAAATAACCATCATTCAAGTCTATGCTCCAACTACAGATGCTGAAGAAGATGAAATTGAAAGCTTTTACACAAGCATCCAGGAGGAAATTGATCAACACTAAAATAAAACACGTTTATGTTATCATAGCTGACTAAATGCAAAGCTAGGGAACAAAACAACATTTTTGAAAATTTGGTCTAGGATAGTGGTTCCCAACCTTGAGTAAGCCACGTGTTTTTGGGCTGCAATTCCCAGAAGCTATCACAACTAGTTATACTGGATGGGGTTTCTGGGACTTGCAGTCCAAAAACATCTGGGTAGCCAAGAAGCACTGAGAAGCACTGGTTTAAAAGACAGAAATTAAGCAGGAGAATGGCTTCTAAGAGTTCTACAAAACCAACAATCTCTTTATTGCAAAGACATGCTTCGAACAATGGAACAAATGCCTGTACATGTGGACATCACCAGAAGGTCAATATAGAACTCAAATAGACTACATAATTGGAAGTAAGTGATACAGAAGCTGTATTTTCTCTGCCAAAACAAGGCCAGGAGCAGATTGTGATACTGATCACAAACTGTTAACATCAAACATTTGAGTAAAGCTGAAAAAGAACATCTGAAGTTTCTGCATCAGCTTCAAAGGCAGCCCCACATAGAGCGTTTACAGTGGTCTAATCTTGAGATTACAAGTGCATGTACGAAGGTAGTGAGCACCCCCGTGTCGAGGTAGGGTCGCAGCCAGGCAATCCGCCAAAGATGGAAGAAGGCGGTGCGGACTACCGACGCCACCTGGGTTTTCATGATGAGCGTCGGGTCCAGATGTACCCCCAAGCTGCGAACCCCACTCTTCGCGGCCAGGGCCGACCCCCCAAACATGAGAGAGTCACCCTAAGCCGCCAACCACATGGATAAAGAAAACTTTTATAAATTAGTTTTTGGATGGTATTTAACTCCAGTGAAATTAAATCACATAAGATACTAAGTTGATTTAATTTCACAAGGAAATAAACAAAATATATTAAATACAGAGGTATGTTCTAAAATAGCTCTTTTATGAATATCTGACAAGGAGCAATAGAACTGGATAAAAAAACAATTCAAATTTATCAACGGTGACAAGATTAACTGGTACCTAAGAATTGGAAAATAAAGCATGATTTTCAATTAAATGAGTGATATAAATAAGTGTTGAAAATAGCTATTAATTATAAGTGAATGTGTAATATTAAATTAAATAAGGCTTTGATAAATAAGAATATTTTTATTGATATCTGGGGAGAATATAAATAAAGGGAAAAGGTTATGCACCTTCACAAGAGTCAATGCACGTTTGGAAAGGGAATGTGAAGAAAAACTGGTTATATGTCCAAAGGGTCCGGTGGGAGGAAGCACATTATGTGTAATTGCATTGTTTATGTGTTATAGAGCAGGCCGGGTAGGTGGGGCTCGTCAGCCACGGAAGGCATCTAGGAGAAGGAAAACTCCGATTTCAAACCTCCACTGCCTTGTGGCTATATCCACTCATGGAAAAGGCTTCAGGAGTTAACCTCGAGGCAAAATCTGGAGCTGGAGTCCGGAAGGCAGCATGTGTCGTTCTACCAACTCCTGCGACATTGCTGGAACCACTTGTATTGGCTCTTGCCTTTCCATTGGACCATTTCAGCAATGTGGAGAGGGGGGATCTGCTGCTTGGGTAACAGCCTATCCTCCATATTACCTTACCCGGGCTTCATGCTCTAGAGAGGACACTCCTCGATTCAGAGCATGTTACCATAGTCTCTCGAGACTGAAGGATGCCTATGGATATGTGTTATTAAGTGTTTCTGTGTATGCAATTTTTTGTTTTCATTTTTGTTTCTATCTTTATAAATATATATTGTTAAAAAAATATGCCAACAAATATGGAAAAAAAGAATGGCCCACAGCCAGGAAATGTTCAATATACATTCCAATCTCCAAGAAAGGAGATGCCAAGGAGTGTAGTGACTATAGGACCATTGTTGTAATTTCCCATGCAAATGAAGTGCTCAAGGCTTGCAACAAAGACTTTTACCTTATATGGACAAAAGAAAGTTTTTTCATAGGCAAAGATATCAGACAAGGGTGTATTTTATTCTGTTCAATCTGTATGATACGAAAAACATATACAAAAAACTGGACTAGATTCTGATGAACAAGGAGTGAAAACTGGTGGAAGAAACATCAATAATTTAAGATTTGCAGATGACACCATCATATTGGCAGAAAGCAGCAAGGACTTGAAACAACTTTTAATGAAAGTGAATGAAGAAAGTGCCATGTGAAGAAAGCAATTGGGATATTATCAAGTTATATTTTCCATATTGATTATCCCTTTGTGGAATCCATCCTTGATTTACATCCTGACAGAATGTCACTTATATTAATTACTCTCCAAATCCATCCAGAACAAGTTAACTCAATAGTTTAACACTGACTAGGTCAAATCACCACATAAAATCTTTGCACTGATTTCCTAAGTGTTTATATCTTGCTTTCAAAGTCTGCACTGATCTTTTTGCTGGCAGCATTTAATTTTCATCCTTGTCCTTTTCACACAACTGTTTTCAAGCTTATTCACAGTGGACTTGGTCTACCTAATGTTAGGCTTTCCCTCCACAATTCTCCTACTTAAATCGATGACTCCTTAAAGCATTCCATGGTTAAAACTGCCTTCTTTTTTTCACCAATTCCTAGCTGCATACCTTTTAGTTTACTAAAATTGTATATCAGGTTTAGAATAATTTCCCCTCAAGATTTAGTATAATGTCTCGCCATGTTTAAATATCCCCATACTATAGAGAAATTATTTTCTGAGAGTCAGAACAAATCCATAGTGTCTGTGCTTTTGAGTCCCCTCCCCCTTCCTATATTGGACTGTACACTGTCTGGATTATATAATACACCAGAGTAGATTTCCAATAAATCCACTAAAAATGATTGAACTGTTTTCATATTTAGCAGAAAGATGTCCATGGCTAATGCTTATATTCAACTGTTAATATGGCAATAAGAAAATGTTTTATTAAAAACAGCCCACATCTTTCTTTGAAAGAGAATTTTTAAATAAAAGTTTGTTACTTCTGTCAGAACACATTCATAATGAAGTTCTATAAAACAGCATACTTATGTAAAATAAACAACCCCAAACACAGATATTCACTATAAATTACATTATTCATCTGCATTGCAAGGTATTTTAAAATCAGATGTCTTAAGGAAAAACTGTGGCTTCCAGAAGAAATTTGGGGATGGAAAAAGGATAAAGTGACTTTTATAACAAAGGAAATACAAAATTAAATGCCCAATTCAGCCCATCACACTCTTTTAGTTTAATAAATCCATAGTTGTTACTGGGCTTAACAAAAATCACTTCTCCCTAGATGTATTAGGCTACAATTTTATGAACACTTGCTTGAAAATTTGCCACAAAGAACGAAGTGGGGCTAACTACCAATTAAACATAAACTGAATCAGACTATCAGTTTACACATGTTCACTCTTTCTTGCATGCTTTTCTTTTTTAATATTTTCTTCAGAATATTCACGCTTCAGTCCCATTTCCATTGGATCATCCACATCATCTGGAAAGGAGGAAGAAATGTTGGTGCATGATTGCTGAGAAATATACAAGTTAAATGTCCTATGTAAATTCAGAAATTCCTGACTAGTTATTAGTTCAGTGGAAAATTTAAATAAATTAAATTCTTAGGCTGAGAGCTAAAAATGACCTTTGATACACCCATAGTCTTAAGTACACTCACAGTGGATATTTTAGCCTTTTCTTCGAAGGGAAGACATCTTTGCCATCACACATTGTCATAATCTTATTTTGAAGGTCCTCTTCACTTTGAGAACTCTTTTATATATTTCATGGAATTAGAGTTTATAATCCTGTTTGAGAAATGCGAGGCTCAAATCTCACTGTGAGCAGCAACTCTTTAATCAGTGGCAGTTCTGGAGATGGGAAAAAGAAGCTGATCTTATCTAACTTCTACATTACAGTATTTCAATCTTGTGATTCCCCTCCCCCCTCTTGCCATGACATGCTGCTGGAAATTTTTTGGAAGCCTTATGAAAACAGGATAGTTTTAAATAATTTCCTGAAGTGGTGCTGGTTTCCTGAAAGTGGCAACTGTGCCTACTATCCTTATGCAACTTTCTTTGGATAAAGTCAAGCCCTTCCTGCTCCCTGAAAGTAGACACCTTCTGAATTAGAGACTGTTATCTTGGAATGTCTTCATAAATACTGTACCTATTTCAGTGAGCTTTGGTAACTAAACAAATCATTCATTTTGATGTAACTGCAAAACTAAGCTGAACACTTTTCAAAACAAGTTGATGGCCAAAATCCTGTTGCATAAATTATGCTGGCATAGGAATGAATCAGAAGTAGAAATGCGCGCGAACCACACTTCGGCAGTTCAGCCCAGTTTTACGCTGCACACAGGTGTTAGGTGCATGCTGTGCATTCTTCTTCCCACTTCCCCTACACTCTTGCCCCAGGTGATGTGTGCTTCTCCCCCCAGAGCAACTGCCCACTTACAGGTTGCAGCGCGTGCTTCTCTCCCCCTTCCCCTCCAATGGCCACCCACTCAGACAAGGTGGCAGGGCAGAGAAGCCTGTAGCACTGCCTTTGAGTGGGCAGCCCCTGGAGGAGGTGGAGGAGAGAAGCAAGCATGGGGAATGGCTGAGTGTGCAGAGGAGATGGGAGAGGGGAGTGTACAGCACCCGCATAACACTTGTGCAGGTGTGGTGCTGAAGTAGGCCAAACCACCAAACTGTTGTTTGCACCCATCTCTAGTTAGAAGAGTGTGTGTTGAGTTGTACAAGCCTTGAGATCAAAGCAGGAATTATTTAGTTACAGTATTAGCAATCTCCCTCTGTCAATGACATCATTTCCCTTAGGTTGGCATAATTTACTCAACAGGACTTTGGCCAATGTTTTTAAAAATGTTATCATGGAAAAATGAAACCTATATCAAGATTATATTAAGTGAATGTGCATTTTGGGATGGAAGAATCAAATTATTAAATCAAACATTCAGAACAGAAGGAGTGACTGTATTATCAATTTAACTACAGAGATGATGACCAGGCTGAAAAACGTCTGATTTCTGTCATGCTAAGAATCTAACACTTGCCAGGAACACACCTTTTGTGAGCTGAGCAATTTTATGCTGTTCTTCTCTGACTCGTTTCATCAGCTGTAGGTTACGATCACTGACTTCTTTGTGGTTTACCATAGGAAAGGGATAATCTTTACCTAATGCAAAACATAGCAACAACATTATGAATTTAAATTAAATGTAATTTATTTCAAATAGTAACACAATCTGATTCATACAGCTAGTCCATAGGAGGATCTTTTCTCAATTTCATGACTAAGTACTAAATGAGGCAGTGGGTGGTTTATTCAGCAGCAGGCCATCTCAAGACATACACACACATATAGATACCAACCATTTGCTGGATCCATGTTCCATATAGTGTGTGAATAATGTAAATGCCTGGTAAAAACTGTCACCAGTTCTTGGCAAGAAATGTGAGTTCTCCCCCCGCCCTGCCGCCCCCACAACAGATTCTGGAGTGAAGGGAGAGTTTGAGTTCTGAGACGAAGTGAGTAGAACTTTTAGCATGGATGTCTGAGGGCAGCAGGCTGGTTATTTTGGCAACTAGTGCTTGTATTCTCCTTGTTGCCAAGGGAATAGAGGAACCGACCAGATACACAGCTGCTTCACTGGATGCCTGTTCTAGCAATGTGGTCAGAAAAAGTGAGTGTCTAACATATTCTTGTTGCCAAGGCAAGGGGGGCAACATTGTATGCTCCTCAAGGGCCATTCCTGGATGAAAGGCATAACTATGAAAGGATAATAAAGGTCTAAGAAAACCCAGCCTATTTCTAGATGAGGTAACTGGGAGCACGAATATAAACATTGGCTGCTCAGAGCTGAACCCCTCTACTCTACAGATATTTATTACCTATAATACAGCCTGCCTCTATTTGTATTGCTTCTGGTGCTGTCCAAGGTTCATAAATATATGTAGAAGGAAAGTTCTTTAGCACTGGAAGGTATTTTCTGAAAAATATAATTGCATACACCATCTAGTTAAATGCATAGGTAAAGGTAAAGGTTCCCCTTGCCAATTTTTGTCCAGTCGTGTTTGACTCTAGGGGGCGGTGCTCATCCCCGTTCCAAGCTATAGAGCCAGCGTTTTGTCCGAAGACAATCTTCCGTGGTCACATGGCGAGTGCGACTTAGACACGGAACGCTGTTACCTTCGCACCAAGGTGGTCCCTATTTATCTACTTGCATTTGCATGCTTTCAAACCGCTAGCTTGGCGGGAGCTGGGAGAAGTGACGGGCGCTCACTCCATCATGTGGATTCGATCTTACGACTGCTTGGTCTTCTGACCCTGCAGCACAGGCTTCTGCGGTTTAGCCCGCAGCGCCACCACGTCCCTAGTTAAATGCATAGCACACTATATATGTTTCATGTAAGTCATTGTTACTGCACCATGGAGCACATGTCTTGAAGCCAATTACAGACATATAACCTAGGGAAGCATAACCAAAAATTGATAGATCAAAACATGAGCATTCAGATACAAAGGAAGTGTACACCCAGTAAAAGCAGGCAGGATATAACAATTAGATAAATTATTGTCAGCACCTTTCATTCGAAAGAACCTATGAATATAGTTGGTGAGAAACAATAATTGAAGAAGCATCTTCCTCCATGCCTTACTTATGGATCCCTCTGGAGGCATCCCATTAACCCCAATGGGAAGCATATGTTGGGTGATATACACAATCTAATTGAACAGGTATTTTCTTCTAGGTTTAGCACAATAGGAACAGAATTAATGGAGTAATTAAACTGAGGGAACTTACCGAATATACTGGCCTTCTGGATCTGTGCGCTTCCCAAAACGAATAGGACAAAAAATGCGTGAGTACTGATGGAAGAAAGCACTAGCTGACAACCACATCCAGTTTCCAGCATTAATACTGTAATCTGCGTCCAGAAGCAGCTCTTCAAATACCTGAATCATAGTAATAAAATTAAAGGTGGTGCAT